GCATTATAATAAGTCAAATAAATTGATTTAAGTACAACGGCAGCATGGCGTCTAGAACAGGCCTTAGTGGTGTTTTGGAAATTTTAACCTTTTTACTCTTTCTAATGTAATATCCATGCAGACAAAACATAAAGAGTTGTGGTTTTTAAAAGATACAAAGATATGATTTTGCAACTCAGGCGATTCATAATGCAGTGCGCCACCACGAGTTTACCAAGTTTATTTTTCTCAGCGCATTTTGGTAGATGGTCGACAAATTCGCAGCGCAGGACATTTGACATTTTTCCTTTTTCCGGTCAGTATTGTCAATATGGTATTAAAGGCAGCAGAATGCTATGCCCCATTCTATAACCAATTAGCTCAAGTTGCCTACTGACACTAATTCAAATTGGCCATGTTTTGTCGACCATAAACTTGAAAAATGGACCCTCCATGGCAAACTCTTGGTGGTGCACTATATTGTGAATTGCCTGGATTACGTTGACGGCTTTGTTTGCCATTCCTCATACATACATACATACATACATTCATACATACATACATACATGTATAGCTGACACATAAGGGGAATGCATTGTGGGCAGCATCCCAAAAAGGCAGTCTAGTGTAATCACAAAAAAGTGGGCAACTCATATTTGTCTTTTTACCAAGAATTAAACGTAGTCAAGTCCATCACAAGTCCATACAAGTCCCCTACAAGTCCCTCACAAGCCTCCCAGTCCAAATTCAACCCACAAGGCATTCAAATAAGCTTTGATTTCTTTGTTATCATTAATCAATGTTTCTTGTGAATAGACTTGTGATGGACTCGACTACATTTTGTACATGTACATCCCAGAGATACGTACATAAAATACATTGTTTAAGGTAAATCTCATTTAAATTAGACAAAGAAAACAAATTAAAGAAAAAACATCTTTCAGTGAAGGATAAATATTTGTGACCTGCCATAGTCAGTTTCTCCATTAAGGCCCATTCTAGACGCTGCGCTGCTACAACGTCAAACTTAAATGAAATGAGTGCAGCTACAGTTCTACAGCAAGGCAGTTGCTCTAAACGCCGAACTTAATAGTCAAACCTTAATTAAAACATCTTGAGTAACTAGCCAGGTTTATGAAGCAGTTCAAGAAGTGCTAATAATTTTCGGCGCAATCAAGATACCGGTATTCGTGCCAATTTTAATCTCCAACTTCAAATTGAATCGGGCACAGCAATGGCATAGCATTTAGAACAGTACCTTGCCACTACCTTCGGAATGACAATAGAGCAGCAGCCCTGTCGCCCTAAAGGCAGTGCCGTGCCAAACTCAATTTGCTGAGCCAAATGCTTCTAAATACTGTGCTATTACCGCGCCGAATTATATTAAGTCAAATAAATTGCTTTAAGTACAACAGTAGCATGGCGTCTAGAACAGGCCTTAGTAGCGTTTGGGAAATTTTTTTAACCTTTTTACTGTTTCTAATGTAGTATTCAGGCAGACAAAACACAGCGTTGTGGTTTTTAAAAGATACAAAAATCTGATTTTGTAACTCAGGCTATTCACAATGCAGTGCACCACCAAGAGTTTACCAAGTCCATTTTTCTCAGCGCATTGTGGGAGATGGTCAACCAATTCGCAGCGCAGGACATTTGTAGTTTTTCCTTTTTCTGGTCAGTATTATCAATATGGTGTTAAAGGCGGCAGAATGCTATGCCCCATTCTATAACCAATAAGTTTCAAGTTGTCTACTGACACTAAAATGGGCCATGTTTTGTCGACCATAAACTTGAAAAAGGGACCCTCCATGATAAACTCTTGGTGGAATCTCTTGGCACTACATTGTGAATTGCCTGGATTACGTTGACGGCATTGTTTGCCATTACTGGGATCTTCCATGCCTGATTGCGCATCACACATACATTTTGTATAGCAGTAACACATCACAATATAAAGGGGAGTGCATAGTTTGCAACATCCCAGTAATAGCGAAAAGGCAGTTCAGTCATCACAAAAGTGGGCAAATCAGATTTGTCTTTTCTATACCAAGAATTAAATGTAGTCCAGTCCATCACAAGTCCCTACAAGTCCCCTACAAGTCCCTCACAAGTCTCCCAGTCCAAATTCAACCCACAAGGCATTCAAATAAGCTTTGATTTCTTAATTATTGTTGATCAATGTTTCTCGTGAATAGACTTGTGATGGACTCGACTACGTTATGTACACGTACGTCCCTGAGATATTTACATAAAATACATTGTTCAAGGTAAATCTCATTTACAAATGTAAATCAGACAAAGAAAACAAATTAAAGAATACACATCATTCAATGAAGGATAAATATTTGTGACCTGCCATAGCAAAATGAGAAATAACCCCCACCTTTGACTTTTCATGTTATGTACATCATGTTAAAGCACAAATCATTGGCTTTATACCAAATTAATTTTTGTAGTTTAATTTAATCCAAAGATATGACGCAGGAACTTCAACAGTGTGCTGCCAAGTTTTGCTACCCTCATTTCGAGAAAAACGGCTTTGAAAAAAAAAAGACATGCATTGCGCCGCCAATTGCAGTGAAAAACGTTCCTCAGTGCTTTCACTTTTCACTCAAAAATACATACACTCAATATCGATTTGGACATGATTTTTTTTCTATAATCTGACTTCAGGCCTCGATTACTCCAAGCAAGGTTTTGGGGGACATTCCTTTTTTTGCCTCAGTTGGCCACATTTTTCAATCAATTTTCTTATTTGTTCATAATTATTTCGAAGATTAAGGCCAAATTAATGGATTTTAAAAATATTTTGGCAGATTTTCAACAATATATTATTACATTTTATTTTTATATGAAGGCACAAACTGTACAAGAAATCCCCCCACAGAACTGTGGGCTGATTCTTCTAGTGAATACTAAACCGTAAAACATTAATACATATGCAGTATCTCCTACAGGGCACTAGGTTTGCCAAGATATATTATTTCCAACAGCACCTTGCGACCCATCCACCATGACACAAGCATATGACAACAAAGTGTACAATTTGGCAGCGAGGAAACAAAGGCCCTACTGATAACCACACCCATAGCCTGGGCATGAAGTTTAACAACTCGTGGTATAGATGAGACTGACTTCAGGTCAGGCACGAAGATGTCGGGCGGACAGAATGTCACCCATGGATTCTTTGTGAGAAAGGAGTAGGGGTCACTGAGGTTTTGAAAGAAAATCCATTGTTTATGTCCGTTTCGCATCCAAGCGTGTAGGAAAAATTCAAAATAACATGTTAGCCTCCATATTGCACGAGAAAACGCATTACAAAACAGTGCTGACTCAGCATGACTAAGCACTTTTAAAATGATGGCTCCCACGGCCGTCAAGGGCCAGATCTGCAATGCTCCAATATCCACATTTGTTGATATGATATTGGTCCATCTCTGTACCACATTTGGCACTGTTATCATAAAATGCACAATAGGTTTGCTATGCCACCCACTTTATACATAAAGCTTCTCTACCACTTAAATTAAAGCTTGTGGTCTCAGGCAGTTTTTAAATTATAAACAAAGTGTGTATCTTTGGAATAAGTGTGAGTTTCAAACTTAAATTATATTTTAAATTATAAACTAGAGATTAGCGTTTGTTGTTACAAACGCAGAGTGGTCGGGTAGACAACTATTTTATGAAACACTGTCCAGTTAAGTTATGAATATTTCTATCTAAGAAAAAATGAGTATCAGGAAATTAAATCCTTTCCAGGACAATCAATTAAATTTCAGTAAACATTCAATGTACACATACAAGTTATTTCTGGCTTGATAACGTCATTAGTCAAAAATGGAAAGTGAATAGGGCCTACTGATTTAGTTCGGAGTGGATGTTCATTGTGAAGTTAAATAATGTATGAAAATTTGGAAAATATAAATGTATGTATTCGTAACACCGAACTTCCGGTTTGATGACGTCACAGTTTTTGGGAGCAAAAGGTTAACATTTTAATGGTATCGTTATTTGGGCTAAGATATACGACATGGATCAAATGATAGAATTAAATTTAAAATATGATCGTTTCAAATTCTCATAGAAGTAACTTTCGGTCTGATGACGTCATGAATTTGCCAAGTTATCTGTGGTTAATCAAAGAATATCAAGGGTCGATTTGGTAAAATTTGAACCAATGGTTTTAAAAGTCAAGAAAAGAACAATATTTTAAGTGCCGCTAGGGGCGCCCTTTCGGATGATGACGTCATCACACTGTTTTTGTGTCTGGCATTCCTCACTAAACACTTTCATAATATATGTGTCTGTAGTAAAATGCTTCCGCTTTTAACTTTCATTGTTTTTATTGCACTTGTGGTAACACCGGAAGTAAAGGTCAAGCGGTTTTGTGTCTGGGAACACAAAATGTTTCTCACAGCATAGTCTACAACCTCGCGAAAAAACGAACACGATACTCTATTTAGTTCAAAAGATATAACGCAAACTATTTTGTCAAAATTTGCCCTTAAATCGCTTATAATTTGATACCTGATGACGTCATGATGACGTAACAAAATTAACATCTTCATAACATGGTACAAGTTCACACTAGGTTTTATGATCATACCATAAACCGTTCGGAAGAAATTTTGTTTTGTTTTGATTTCAGGCTAACGTCTTCATTTTGTTTTCACCTAACTTTGACCTTCCGGTAGCCCCGAAAGAAAAGGTCAAACGACTTTGACTTTAAAATCAAAAATGTTTAGCAAGGTATTGTCCATCAGATCACAAAGTATGAACGTGATTGTGTATTTTGTTCATGAGTTATAAATGACGGAAAATTGTCTTATTTTGACCAAAAATCGCTTGTAATTGACACCCGATGACGTCATCGTGACGTCAGAGTAATATGCACCAATCGGGATGAGGGTCCATGTGTATTGAAAGTTACAAGTTCATACCATTAACCGTCTAGGAGAAAACCCACGGAGAAAAAAAGATAGAAAGACCCAAACAAAGAAGATTTATGAGAACAATTCCAGACAGTGGGAAAAAATGCAAGGGGTTAACCATACCTTTTTGACTAAATTTGGTCCCAAACCTGCTTCTGGAAAAAAGCCAGAAACATCTTTCAGTATATTTAAAAACCCCTACTCTAAACAAAATGGAGGATTAATGAGTTTTAAAAAAAATAATGTTTTTACAAATTTTCAATATCGTACAAAATCCTCAACGACACAAAATGTCAATAAAACCTTAAAATATGTTAGGCAGGAATCAATCTTAAACATGTCCCTGAGCCATTATCTTGAATCCAATGAATGTTCCATGCATGATTCACATTCAAAACCCAGTGCACAACTCACTAGTATCAAACAAGCCTTGTACTAAGTTTCAAGTTCAAATACCAGGGCACAATTACTGTATCACACAAGTTTTAAGTACATGTACCAAGTGTCAAGTTCAGAACCCGGTGCATAATTCAAAAGTATCGAGCAAGTTCAAGGCACAAATCTTTTTTTTTTTAATCTGATGTATAGCACCTTAGAGCATTTTTTATTTATGATTAAGACGGCTTATAATTTAGTGTTGTATTAATATTATTTTAAGTATCAAACACGCATTTACATGTAGCAAGTTTCAAGATCAAAACCCACTGCACAAATCCATAGAATCAAACAAGTCAGGTACCAGGTTTCAAGGTCAAAACGCCTTGCTTAAATTTAAAAGTATCAAACAAAATATGCATCAAGTTTATAGTTCGTGAATCAACAATTCTTGACATACCCGACTCAACCATTTTCATTGTTTTATTCATAATAACATTGACATTTTGATCCTACGATGTTCATAGCCAATGGGTTTACGGGGACCCTTACAACAATCTAAAAGCCATGTTTGAAGTTGATACGCCCAGTGTGTCCCAAGTTTCAAAAGGCCTCCCAGTATCCCAAAAATGGCCAAAACACAAAGTTGATATGCCAAGTCGTTCTCGAGATTTGTTGGGAAACCATTCCTATTGTTTTCACCATAATGACATCATTTGAACATTGCCAATTTGACTTCACAGATCAGGTGACCACACTGTTCACATGGCCACACAGTTGACATGGCTACAAAGGTCACATGACTCCACAGGTCACATGACCCCACACGTCACATGACTTCACTCTACAGAGCTCACCAGCAGTTCCTTATACCTATCCATATTGATGCTCTGGACGACAGTTCGCTTTGTCTTATCTCTCCAGATGGTGTGCCAGTCTACGATCATCTGACCCCGTGTCACGCCCTCTAGCGATACCGAGCAGGGGCATTGCTTAGAATCGGTGATGATGGAAGGATCAATGGCAATGCAGACAGCGAGGGCATCACAACAGTTCCAGCCCTTTGTGTCAATGCAGAAATAATCTACCTTCAGCTGTATATCAAAAACAAAATATCACATCAATTCATCACCACAACCTCCAATTCAATTTGAGGCCACCTCCCCCAGTAGTGGGCGAGGCTAAGCCTTGTTCGATATAAAAATGACATTAGTTGTTTAAAAATGACAATATTATATAGCCGTAAGGGCAATACACTGCAGTCGGCAAGTGTTTGATTCGCAAACACTAGATAAAAGGGCATATTTTCACGTAAAATAACCGCAAATGGCATACATGTAAGGTCATGGTAGTCATAATTAAGCCAAACCAGCACTGGGTGTTGGCTTCACTTTTTTCTCACGTTTTACCATCTATCACAGCTTTGAGTGCTTGCCTACTACCTCATGGATGAGGTGCTATATGATCTTTGCCTACTACAATGGCGACTGAAACACGGAAATAAAAGAGCAAAGGGTTAAAGAATGGGAACTGACCTGTTCATCTGACATGATTTTGTAGGAGTGTTCACTGATTGCTTTCAGGAAACGACCTTTTTTAGTTTGTCGCTCCATCAGTCCATCAATCCATTTCTGGGTGTGAATAAAAAAAAAATCAAAGTATTGAAGTACACAAATACTGGACCCTGTGCATAAACGGTAGAGGGCGCTATTTACCTCCAATGGTAGGGCCACACTGCAAATTATAGTCTTGATTCCAAGACCTTCCCATTGTTTTTAGCCGAAATGGATTAATTCTGACTACAGATGGCGCTATATGCCTATTTACTTGGGTTCATTTCAGACTTTGAGCGAAGGTCTTGGACATTTTGTTCGGCAGTGCTTAATGTGTTTCATCGTTTACCCTTCACTTTCGGGGGAGCCAATTGGAACGTTGTTATGAATTATTCATGATCACCGATGTATACACACACGTACATGCGCACAACAGCAAGCTACATACATGTAAGCTGCACATGAAATGAAGATACAAGTAGTATTTGGTGATATTTGGTGGACATACGTGTTGTGGTTGAAACATAGCTTTGCGGGCACACTGGAGTCCAACTTGCTAACATTATGTTGGTCTAAATTACTTTGTCTGCAACCACAACACCAAGGAGTGTTTTGATCCAAGAAATTACGAATTACGTATGTGGACACTGATGAACTGAAATTTAAATATGTGTGCGATCACTGACGACAAATCATGAAAACAAGAGCCATTGCAAATGTAAGAGACAACATTCGACAGAGTACCGCTTTGAAGTTGGTATTAAATTTATTCCTCGTTCGACATTTCATTTTGAAAGTAACAGTTACTTATTCGACATTGTGCGACCGCTAACCCTATCCTTAGTCACGCGTTATGAATACCTTTCGATTACAATGTCATTACCATAATTGGCCACACCCCCCAAACTGAAATATCCAAGACCTTCCTGCGATAGCGGTTCGCGGATGATAGCGGATTTGTCTGGATGTAGCACCCTCTAACAAAGATGGTTCGTGATAGTGATCTGTAATTGACGTTGACAAGATCACGGAATAAACAACAGGAAGGTCTTAGAATCAAGACTATGCAAATTAGGGCTAATATTCCCCATGGAAGGATGTGACGTTTACACAGTTCAACAAAAACAATTATAAAAGTTAAGGTTTTTAAATGTTTTCAATGACTGCCCACAATTTATTATGTCAATCGTTGTTGATTTATCATGTCAATCACAACGATCTGCAGACATAAAGGGAACATGTCTATTAGGGAAAATGGATGTTAAGGTGAGGGCATATTAGTCACACTTGTTATTGTGCCTCCATTCTACACAAACATGAAAAGTATCAGAAGAGAGAACGCTTTGCACGGTGATTGAAAAAGAAAAAATCACTGTCAAGTTAAGAAATATATTCCTCAGCAAGGACCTAAAATAAATTAAGTGTGAAACTTACAAATGGAACTTCCGTTGCCATGGTGAGTTCCCATGTTACCATGGTAATGGGGCACTTGTAGCTGTCGAGTACAATGTACGCTGCATCAGGGTCTTGGTAGAAGTTGTATTCTCCGCAAGGGTTGGCGTTGCCTTTGCCTTCAAACAAGATTGAGAGAAAACATGAAAAGTTATGTGGAATTTTTGGCAACATCGTGAATTTGTCAGGACTTTTTGTGAAAGTCACAATTTTTGACATGACTAGTTGTAAAAATGTTTGCGACGTCGTGATTTGTGATGTTGTAAATTCACGACAAACCACACATTTTTCACGACTAATCGTAAAAAAAAACAAAATCAGTCACAACTTTTGTCATGTATATTTTTTCAGTATCTTGGAGGGTTGAAGAATTTGCATCATGGGATGGCAGAGATATGCCCCCTGACGCTGGATGGATTATTAAGTATAAAAAAAAATATATACATGTACCTTACTATTTATTGAGAAAAATATTAGCAACAAAATTTATGACTGGTTGTGAAAAAACTGTACGACATCACGAAAAAAAATCACGACAGTTCGTGAAACAGTTCATGACATCACATGAAAAAAATCATGATTGGTTATGTCGCTTTACCATATAAAGTTCCTCAATACTAATACAAAAATTTCATCCCTGGTACTGCCTGCTACCCTGTTTGGCATGAAGATATAAACCATCCAGCTGATCCTGGTATTGGTAAGCTCGGTGGTTGTGTGGTTAAGACCCACCTAAGCAGGCTTGTACATTTTTCTCACAAGCTCTGACAGCAGACAATACTTCTTTAACCCTTACTCTCTGAGGGTAGTTTACTGCATGTCAGTTGGTTATGCCAATGCCCTCCAGCTGCAGTTATTTGGCAGATAACAAGTCTTAGCAGTGAAGGCTCCAATTGGCAGGAGTTGGAGGCCCTGGAGGGTGCCTGATACTGACCAGCTGGGGGCACTCACTTTGTTATCAGAGGACTCTCATTGTTCTCTGTGGCATGTATTGGAGTGCCTGTCCAGTTACCCTTGAAATGACATGGCAGATATTGGAGGGCCATGCAAAAAACATAGGAGATTTTCTTGAGGCACATATTGGCATGCGTTGGAGGGTCTAGTAGGGTAAGGGTTAATGAATTATTTTCAAAAAGTTTGCATTGATAAAGTTTGTAGCATTATGAAATGCATTTTTGGGTGTGATACCTGGCCAATTTATCTTTCATGCTAAAGTGAAAGCAAAGTCAATTTCATGACGTCAGTTCATATCCGGGACGAGTCGCAGACAAGTTCCGGACATTGTATCATATATAAGCTGCAGGATTCTGAACAACTTCACTGCAATCTTCCAACAATAAAGTTATCAGTATTGGTGAGTCAAGCAGTTGCTATGAAACTTTCCCTGAACAGAGCTGCTTCTGGACAAAGTGAATGATTCTACCCGCAACTTGTCCGGAAATCGTCCCGGATATGAATTGAGAAGGTCCCCTAGTTTATGAGCACTTACCGTACATGTTACCCCCCATGATGAAAACCCCTTTCAGTTTGGCTGAGAAACCCGGCGCCATCTTCTCAGCTAAGGCAAGGTTGGTCAATGGCGCTATGGCAACCAGCGATATCAATCCTGGATATTGATTGGCTAGGGAGATGAGAATGTCTACAGCATGTTCGGAACGTTGATGGCTGGAGTTGATGGTGAAGTCCGGGTGGGGCGGGACGTCGCCGAGGCCGTCAATGCCATGGAAATCAGATATTGGTATTTCCGTCACGAGGGACCTGGTGGCACCTTTGTAGACCGGAACCTGTGAAAGTGGTGGGAACCAGTTAAACTAAAACCCATGTGCTTACGACATCAGGCAGATCTGGGCAACTGGCATTTGATTGCCCAAATTTATTTGGAAAATATCCTCCGTCAAAACAATTGGAATATTGGAATATTTTTATTATGAATGGTGTTTGAGAAACACAAGGATTTTGGAGGATGGAGAATGAATGGTGTTTAAGCACATGAGGATTTTGAAGGATTGAGGATTCATGCATTTTGAGAGGCAGGACAGTCTGACAATTTTAAGGGATTTAGGTGCTGTTGCAAAATTTTGGAGGATTTTGGAGGATTGAGGATGGTTCCTAGCAAAAAGGGCCTGGGGTTAGGGTTAATGTGGATCTGTGTGTTGTAGACAAGTCCATCATAAGTACATCACGAGACATGTCACAAGTAAATTACAAGTCCATTTACAATTCTGTTCGTGAGTACAAAGTACCAGGGGATGAACAATAACTAAGGCATACCTTGTCAGAATTCATGATTTGAAGACAAAATTATGCGTAGCTTATGACTTTATTTGAGACTTGTGATGGACTTGTGAGCACTTGTTGTGAAGTTGGACTCAACTATAGGGCTCTCTCATGACCCGGCCTTCATCTGGGTACTTAAAAGCCAGCGTCGCCATTGTAGTAGGCAAAGATCACAGAGCGCCGCGCACAGAAGGTAGTAGGTAAACCTTCAAAGCTGCGATGGATGGCAAAAGCCGTGAGAAACACACGGAGCCAACACCCAGTGCCGAGTCGGCATGATTACAACAACTGTATACAATTATGCAATTTGATAGAGAACCTGCATTATTTTACGTGAAAAATAAGCCCTACCATCTAGTTTACAATACACGACATGCTAAACCAAACGCTTGCCTACTGCACTGGCGGCTGATCATGGAGATACCGGATGGTCCTGCGGTACACTGACGTTATACGATCGGAACCTATAGTAATTCAAAGAATTTGAATAAATGTTTGGCAACGTTACATGTACCACTTAATTAGTCTTACCTCCCGTCTGTCGCAAGCATCCAGCACCCTGTGGACGTTGTACCAGACCTGGTCCACACCAACATTCCCCCTGACACAGGTGATTGCAAGGACTTCAGTGTCTGGGTTGCTCAGGGCAACCATGAGAGCCTGGGCATCGTCAACTCCTGCATCGCAGTCGATCACCATCAGATTCTTCTTCTGGGACATGCTGGCCACGTCTTGACATGAACTGTGTGAAGGAATAGCATTTGTATTGAGTTATAAGCCACTTCAGAATCACATGCCTATAGCCGGAAATAACACGCCCACCTACAATGTATAGTAGCCACTGGCTAGCGGCTGCAGCCACTGCCCATACATTTGTGTGTCATTTCTGGCCCTAGCCATGTTATTTGGACCCTTCCTGTCTGGCTGGCAAATTCATTAAAGCCTTCCCAGCAGTCAAAGACCATGTAGTAACTTACATGTAGTCTGGTTACCAGACTAAAAGACTCCGACTATTTTGACAAATCTTTGGTCGGGTAGCCGCCATGGCTAGGTAAAAATATACATGACCAAAGAATGTCCAAAGTTTACTGAATGCATTTTGTCGACACTCAAATAGCTCGGGTATTACTGGATATGAAACAGATTTTATATGTAAACCAATAAGATACTTGTTATGCTTTGTTATAATTTTTGAAAATGCTGAGTTCATAAATTCATTGCTTGGTGTATTACGCGGCATCAGTACGCGTCACATACTATTTTGAATGTGACAGAGTTTAGTCAAAGATGAGAGTCTTTCATTTGATTAAAAAAATTAAAGGCCAAACAAATCAAACCACACGTAGATCATACGAAAGATGTGAACACCTGGTTCTGAAAGTCCCTACTTATTTCCAATAGGTATGCACCTCCACCTCCTACCACCAGAACGGTAATCTGTTTATTTGTCAGAGCATAGGCCTACTTTAAGAAACACATGGCAACTAGAACCCCTATGAATAAGAACCCAAAGATACAAAAAAAATCACCAGTACCATCAATGGTACAGATGTTGAATTCAGCTAACCCATTAGGTTAATTGAATTTCAATCCCTCGTGTCATTGTAGTTCCCTTCACATGCCCTCATTTCTGTTGCCCCTCTTGCAGCTATCATTATTGTCCTTTTTAAATACATGTACCGGTACATGTAGGCCTACCGCATTTTTAAACAATATCTTCATCTCTTTTTTTTTTACAAAATTGATCGAGTAATCTTTAATTTGAAATTAATTTGAATTCTGGGGTGCTCATGCGTGTATAAATAAACTTGTAATTTTTATCGCAATTTTTGTGAACCATATCATTTAAGTCTTTGACTTTTCTTTTGGTGATGTCTTTTTAATCAAATAAACCAGAATTGAATTGACTACGAAGATGGAGGCGAAGCCAAGGATCCTGCCTATTTTGGTCACGTTTAATTTTAGCCATGGCCACTACCTGACTTAAGATTTGTCAGCATAGTCAGAATCTTGGTCTGGGAACTAGACTATCAAGTGACCGTCTCACTGCTTACATAAAAACAGGATTGACTGACTGTGATTGTTTAGACTTGATACAGCTCTGCCCAGCACAGGAGATTGCTAAGCCATCCGTACCGGGTGTCTCTTTTTTTCTATTAATGTAACTTGACTAGTCTCAGCTACATTTACATGAAATGCACATCAGAAATTTGATCTGCTTGTGACTATTAATTAACCTGCATATAGAAGCATGGCAGGGGAACACAGGCATGCAACTGGGAATTTAGAAAAAAACGAGGAAATTCCAAACCACACAAGGCTTTGTACAGTGTTTTTTTCAATTTGTAATGGCATTCCTGAGAAATAAAAACGAGGAAATCAGCAGATCCGAGGAAAAGTTGCATGCCTGGGAACAGGACTGATTTGTTTTGACTGTCTGTGACTGATCAGACAGCAGGAGGTTTAACACTAAAATGCTGTGGCTATCTACCGGTAGTTATTAAGTTGACCGTGCATCATGCCTGCATCAGTTGTCAACTGACATGAATGAGTTGTTCTCGGACTTTCCCCTCATTAGTCCCCAGTGGACCGTTAGGGAGTTTGATCTACATGTACTAGATACATGTACAAGGTACAAAAATATAACATCCACATGTACTTCAATAAAAAGTAGGATGTGACTTAACACAACGGAAGGAAGAGCATTATATTTTGGGGAAACAGCCAAAGTTGTCATTGAGAATTGAATGGGAACCATATGCATGTAGCAATCAAAGTTAATCTGGGCATCTATCCTAATCGCTTCAGTCAGTCAAACGATTTTATAACCTCAATTTGGATTAATGAGCCATGAACTAGAGCCATTAAAAAAATGTGTTAAAGCCGCCATGGCTAAAAGTAACACAATTCCTCACTCACGATCTACTCTCACAAAATTTACTCCAAAATATACTCATATTTCATAAACTGCACCAAAAGGACGGTTAAAATTCAGCCGGATCCAGCTTTCATTTAGTAAACGATATTTTGCCGGATAGGCACTGAACATGCAAAGTGTGCCGATAGGCACTGACCATGTGCAGTGACTGTTTTGGGGGATTTCAACATGTCGAACGCGTTGTAGTGTATGCATTAGGCCTATGTGTTGAACTGTAAGCATTATGAGGGCCAGCTTGATCTTGAGCAAGGTTATGAATATGCATTGTACAGTTCCTGAAGTCGTGTTTGTTTGGCCGGTCAACACAAGGTCATGAACTGTTAATGCATATTCATAACCTTGCCCAAGCGTGCCCGCTTTAAATGCATAAACAACGCGCAAACCAGTCTGCCATTTTTAAATCATAGGGAGGAACATTTTTGGGAGTAATTGCAGAATACCCGGCCACTCAGAAATACACTGCTAAAATCTCTGTCTACGTGGTTGGAATCACTGGCAAAGAAACAATTCAAGTCCATGCCAGCTACGCGGATACTGAGTGGGGGTCCATTATTTGAGAACGAAGCAACACAAAAGGAATGGGAGTTGCTGAAATAATTCTAAGTCCAAACCAACTACCGTGTTGGCGGCTACGCGGATATGGAGTGGGAGTGCAGTGGAGCATGACGCATAGTACATACAAGTAGCGCTGAGAAGATTAATTGAGGGCAATCAACCATGACTCCGTAGCCGGCTACGAGGTGGATAAATTGAGTGGCGGGGTATTCTGCAATTGTGCCCATTTGTGGGAACTGAAGACTGATTGTCGTTTCTCAGCCAGATGGATGAAGATTTTAGATAAAGGAATTTTTTGGGGAAAAGGCAAGACTTCCTCTACGAGCAGGTACCCTAACTTTGGAAATTTCTGTCCCAGCCGATGACAAGTTAATCTTGATCAAAATTGGTAGCAAAATCGCTACATCACTTTTCAGTGTGTAGGGAAGTAACGCCACTCTGGCCATACTATTAGTATTACTACAACTTGCTTGTGATATTGTGTGGCCAGAGGCAGTCGGGCTAGAATTCAACAAAAACATGTCAAATTCCTGATGATCATGTCAGTTGGAGTAACTCAAGCTGTAACAAATGTTGCAACCTGACACCACTTTTTCTTCAAATATCATCTCAATGAAGGTCAGTTATTGCAAAAATGATGATTGAAGACACGAACATGGGACTGAGAAACATATATCCAATTTTGTTAGGAAATACTTAAAACATTTTCTTAAGTCTCCATAAACTTTGAACACAACCGTTGATAGGCCTACATGTATGTAATAGTTTGCAAATTTTCAGAAATCCTCAAGTAAAACTGATGTGTTGCTTTTGTCGGGTGAAACTCGAAAACACACCGAGCAACTTAAAGTTTACATGTTATAAAAAGTTGAGGAAAGAATGTTGCAAACTGACGCTGCTTTTTTTTCATATCACCTCAATGACGGTCAGTCATTTAAAAATGATGATAAGACATGAATCTGGGACTGAGAAACCTATCAATTTTTTTAGGAAATACTTAGAAAGTTGTCTTGACTCTCCCTAGACTTTGCACACAAGCGCTGAAGTTAAGTAGCGTCAGGTTGCAATATCCTTTCCCAAAATGTCAAGGCCTGCTATCTTCACAATTTTCAGGTCTTTTATGTTACAATTCACTCAATAAATACAACAACATTACAACAAAAACAACCAAAGAATGTACCTTGCTACACCAGTGTGACTAGACCTCAGAACTAAGGAGAAAATGCTAACTTTAATTAACTTGACAAGACAAATAAAGCGTGGTGGTGTGCAGCTGATTTCCAGCAAATTCTAGTTAGGGCGCCACCAAGTGATAACAAGTAGACTCTTTTGGGTGCACATCTTGGGTGCACATCTTGGGTGCACACCGGTAATAAGGCGTAAACCAATCCGCCGCAGAGGTCATGAATTACGCCGCAGCTCATGAATAAAAGTTATACCCTCAAATATTCTATATTGGAGAGTTCTGAGAGCAATAAAATTGGGGAATTGAAGAAATGTGGCAACCATTGGCCCAGACTTGGGGCTTCGAATTCTGAGCCGCATGTTGGATTCAAATTGAAGATGACTACTTTCCCGCTTTGGAAAAAATAGGGGTCGTCTTCTTTGGGTGAACTATTTTCTCCAAAACTAATGGTCAACCCACCAAAAATGAAAAGAAAATGAAAGATGACATGCCTCATCGTTTTTCTGTGCCTCTTCAATACCTGTGAGAGTTCTAAGCAATTTTAAAAGAATTTTGAAGTATGGGCATTTAGCACTAGCACCTGAACTTTAATGCAGGTTGCATTTTTTGCCATCTTAACAAGTAAACTTAATCAAGTAGATCACTCGGCTTGGTTTTATTTTTATCCGATTGTGCAGAATATCGCACATTAAAGAACAACCTGCAAAGTTGTTTTTCTTTGTTTCTCCTATCAAAGCAAATGATGATTCAGTCAATTATTTATATCGCAATTAGATGCTTTAACTTGAGGTAAAATTGAGAAGGTATTGCAACTATAACAGTTTGCTAGAGCACATTTATTTGAATAGCTGCACTGAAAAGTTGAATTATGTATCTTCCCAATAGCACATGATAGTGTTATACATTAAGTGTGATATGCTGAACGGTTCATATTTGGCGGCAAGTCATGCTAGTCACGTTCTTGCACGGTGTTCTCATCAACTTCCCTTTGGCCCAGTGCCCAACTGATTGAGTGTCGCGATACCGACACCCACACTTCACAATCGTCCTGAATGGAAAGACACCTATAATTGATGAAAACAGTTAGGTTGCCCAAAAACGGAAGGACGAGGATGGTGTGCCATACAAGAATGCGACTGACTTGAATATGATTTTATTTCTTTTTAGTAGTTTTGGTTTATACATTTTAACTTTGCTAAAATATTTCGTGTCAATGTCCGAAAATTTTCGAAAGAACCTTGGTAATTTGATAGTAAGAACGTCCAAAGGTGTGACAATAACTCGGCAGATATCAATAAAAATATTTTGTATATGGGTCTATATGTTATTGCTTTCAAATTGGCAACTGCCAAATTAAAACACGGGTGTTTCCGGTAACAGCTCTTAACTAATCTTAATTTTAAACCCATGCTTGTTCTCAGCATAATATAGAATTACATGCGTGAATTTGTCATCGGATTTTGCAGTATGATGAGCTTTTGTATTTTTTATAAACTAGCTATTTAAAGAATCGTTTCCAAAGGTTGTTGACTCTCGTTTTGCCTTCCAGATATATATGACTCGGCAATGATTGGCCATGTTATTTCCACCGTGTTAAAGCAATCAAGATTGTGCACGTACCAAGGGGATTTGATTTTGTTCAGCACAGAATGTATTAAAATCAAGGGACGAGCGCCTGAAGCAACGTTGAAGTGGAGACGATCCCGCCGAAGAGAGAGGCAGGCACAGGATAGAGACAGTGGTTTTGCCAAAGGCGATTCTTAGCACAAACCGTTCATAATGCAATAGATGGTCTGTTGATACAATCATTTAGATATTGGTGAGGTGAATTTCGGGGAAAAGTTATGTACTCATGAGTTCGGATTTCGTCTGACGCAAACGCTGCTGTATTTCCCTGTTGGGTGTGCGCAGGCTGCTGCAGAATGTTTTCTCGCGATGTGGCTGGATGTCTGTGCTTTGATTTCCGTTTTTGTCCCAAGGCAGGTGGACGAACAAAAGCCACGGGAAGTTAATATTGAGGATGCATTGTGCCAGAAGATCATCGTCTCTACCAACACGAAATAATATTTATCATGAAAACAATTCTACCTGGGAAGTTTTATAACTCACCACGCTTAAGTTTAAGGCCCCCCCCCCCCAAAAGCCACTCAGATTTGACTGCGGTGTCACAAGCATGCAGGTAAAATGAGCCGATTTAACGCGAGTAAGAATCTAGCTTATCGAACGGCTGTACCAAGCCACTACATTTACACTCAGTTCTCAAAATTAAAGAACTAGAAATCACATGTTATACACAGTGACATTGCTGTGTTAGAGTTACTCTACTGTTATTATAATGTACATTTTAATGCGGTTAGATCGAAGACCACTAAAATCTACCGCAAAGATATTTGAAAGGTTAGAAAATGGACAGACTGAGAAAACTTTGACTTTTGTCTGCTATCATTGCGCCTCAGAGGCCTATTGAGATAAAAGAGGTATAAAACATAATGATAAATTAGTTTGCAACTTTACATGCACATGATAGAGTCATTAAAACGTGAAGAGGCATATTTCCAACGGCTTCATATTCATCCAACACTCAATTAAAGCCGCGTGCCTCCCAGTCATCGATATATTCACGGGGAGGGGTTATCATGCGTACAGGTTACCCATGTTTTGTCGATAATAAACTTCCCCCTTCGCGCCCGGAACGCAGGGTCGGTCCTCATAAAATTTTCGTCAGGAACATGAGAATCTCATCCACTCACTGAGGATCTTGCGTATTAAGCCAGCAGGTGTCCGGCCAGCTGTGTAGCCTGAACCAACGCCGCAGGGATCGTCAGCCTTGACGATGGGGAAGATCTAAAGAGGAGAAAGTGGCGGGATGGAGAGCCTCTGGAAATGTCAGAAGAGCAAGTCTATTTACAGAGTGGAAGCATTGTGGGATTGGGTTCATCTTTTTGCCGACTTAGTGGACAAATAACTTTCACCATCGAGGAAAGACCTGCAGAAGTTCACAAAACTTTCCTCTTGGATTTGCCAGCCGAGTGCTCTCGGTTGTTCGTTGGTTGTACCTAAATATCTCACTGACTGACTGAATGACTGACCAAATTCTGCTAAATGCACTTCAAAAATTTGTCAGATTTATCAAAATCTGCCATGTTTCCCAGAATTACTCGAAATACACTATGAACACTTAAAATCACATGCAGATATCTGTAATATTGCCTTAATTAAGGTTCCAATTACATTATAAAAGATGTATAGTCACATATAATGAAATTATTGCGTAAATTTCAGGCAAAACGCGGTTGCCTCAGGACGAAGTCCGGTTCCCAGTGAACCTCAGCACCGACTGACACCAGCCAACCTGTCCCATTTTGCAAAGGTTTGTTTGAAAAAGTTGAAGCATTTTTAAACAAAATTAATGTACAATTTTTTTTTTCAAATTTGCTATGTTTTTCTGTCAAATAACCATTTTTGCAGAATTCTGCCAGAAAAAAAAATCCATTTTGTCAATTTTTTTGTCAAACTCGTTTTTAACAAAAAAAATCTGTCAACGTTAGCCGAAAATCGGCTAAAACGGTCACCCTGCTGACTGACCGACTATAATTTGGGACTTAGCCTTGTTGTTGGCTCGTTACGAAGTGCAGCGTTAATGTTATCCCATTATTTTTACAATTACTTTTTTTATATACACACCCAGTAATACCCTACATTCCAAACCACACTGTTCTAGTTTCCTCCGCAACGCTCATGCGTACCACATCACTCTACACCAATGGCAATACAACGCCTGATTGCTTCTCCAATACCTGCAATGAAATCAAAGGCTAAGTGAAGTACTGGACTATTTTGGGGGGTAGGAATTCCATGAATGAAATAAATTAATCCTTTCCGAGTTTGCGGCTTTTGGTGTGACCTGCACGTCGACCGTGCAGATTTAATCAGCGGACGAAATTATCTCGTCGATTCTCGTCTCGCGGGAGATCTCGACTCCAACATTACCCCCATATCGCAGATGGCTATCGGTGAGTAATTACTTCCTGTTGGCCTCTTTGCCGCCGAAAAAGCCAAGGATTACATAATTGAATAGCGGGAGAGGTCTTTTTGTGATGGGCTTTGCCCGTCTCTAGATCACGGATCGACGGTCTCTCACGGCCTCGACCGAGACCAGAAACGTGCCGGAGTTAAATGGCAAGAGCTTTCTGATTGCACGGCCCGTTTATTAAATTCTCCGCACTTGATACCTCGAGGGTAAAACATGGTGTTTGAACCTGCGACCCGAGGTCGCAATTTTGTGATCAATTGTTTGGTGTATTACAGAAAATTCAGCAAGGAATAACTTGCTTTCCGTCTGTTTATTGTTGTGGTAAACCAACTCTTTTAAAGAGCGTAAATGTTTAAGGTACTATAGAGCCAAGAAAATATAGAGCCATTTGTTCACATTCCTTAGAAAGTTGAGCCTTTCGAAAACACTTGGAGGCAGCAGACAAGTTTGCTGCCACCAAGCGTCGGTAAAACCTCTTATAATTCCACCAATACATTAAAACAAAAACTGAACTCGACGGAAGCAAATCATGTCCTAAAGTGGATGGAATTGTTATTTGTATACGACATTTCCAAGCACTCACTGCCACTGTGTCACAAACACTTTCTGACGTCCTCATTTTCTGAATAGGAGGATAAGATTGGCCAGCACCTTTTGTCTGCAAGCAAGTCTCTAGGCCTAGTACGTCTTGTGAGGCAAGGCGTGAACTTTAAGGCGCCATGATATTCTCGAGGGAGCCTGATTTTCCTTTCTTCGAGCAAATACGATAATACGCGCGTCTTCGCTTTGTTCCTTGAGTTCAAAATGTCTCTGTTTCATACCTCAACATAAAAAACCAAGAAGTAATTCCTCCCGTTATAGTATAGAGTAACATCACTTCTTTTTGCAAAGTATCTTGATTTCGGTACAACTACACTGAAATACAAAAATTGGATACACTTGTATAGATAATGCAGAATATATAGTATTAAAAAATGAAAAATTACCCAAGTGTTAAAATAAATAATTATTTAAAAGTCGTTACATTGAAAAAAGGTCAAAGATGCTCACCCACCACTGGCATTGTTTTCACAATTAGTTTGCCAGAGGAAAACCAATA